GCCCTTCACGAGCCTCCTCACCCAGGAGGTTGGAATGAAAAGGATTAAGGAGGAAATTTCTGTGTGTTTGGAATCCTGGATGGGAGAAGGGAAGCAGAGAGATATAACTGTGTTTATTAAGGCCAGCCAGTTTCCATTTACTATCTTATTTAAACTTTCCAACAGTCATCCAAGGTAAGTCTTATTCTCCTAATTTAATGGACAAGTAAACAGGCTCAGAGAGGTGGTGTGACTTGCCCAAAGTCACACAGCAAGGAAATGGTGGCACAGGGATTTCCACTGTCCCAGGGTTTATCCAGGGAAAGCAGACAGATTTTCTGCAATTCTCCTGCACCTTCTTTCCTAGACTAGGGTGTGGCACTGCTCTAGTCTCCACTGTCCCTTCCCTGAGAGCGGGTGGCTGTGACGCTTTCCCCAAAGACCTGAATTACTGAGGGCGTCCCACAGTCCTTGGGCTTCCAGGAGGAAGAAGAGAAGCTTGCCAGCTGCCCATGGGGCTTCACTGGTGTTTTTGCCAGCCTCCCACTCAGATGCATGTGGGGCTGGGCCAGGTTCATTCCATTCTAGAACTACCACCAGGTCAGCCAGATTGTTTGGGCTGTGGGCACAGTGCTCAGCAATTCCAAGCAGAAGCACAACACACCAAAGCAAACCTTGCGATGCGCCTCCCATGCACACTCTACCCGCTTCTTGAGAGTGCCAGCTGACTGCACACCCCAGCCAAGGGGAATTTATCTCCATCAGGGGATGGACACCTGGGAAGAAGCTCTTCCCAGGCAAGATGAAGAGGGAAGGTTGGGGCTAACTAAGTGTATTAGTTTCCTAGTGCTGCTGTAACAAATACCAGAAATCATGTGGCTTAAACAGCACACATTTACTCTCTTAAACGTCTAGAGGTCTGAAGTCCAAAATGAGTCTCACTGGCTAAAATCAAGGTGTCTACAGGACTGTTTTCCTTCTAGAGGCTCTAGGGGAGAATCCCTTTCCTTGCCTTTTCCAGCCTCTAGAAGCTGCCCACATTCCTTGGCTCATGGCTGCCTTCCAGCTTCAAAGCCAGCAACACGGGGCCGAGTCCTTCTCCCATTGCCATCTCTCTGATTCTCTCTTCCTCTTCCACATTGAAGGACTTTGGGATTGCACTGGGCCCGCAGGATAATCTCCCTATTTTAAGGTCAGCTGATTAGCAACCTTAATTTTATCTGCAACCTTAATTCCCCTTTTGCCATTTAACCTAACATAGTCACAGGTTCTGGAGATTAGGACATGGACATCTTTGGGGGTCATTATCCTGCCAACCACACCAAGGAACATTTGGAAGCACTTCATTCAACCAATAACTATTCATTAAGCACCTACTAGGTGTCAGGCATTGCTCCTGGCACTGGAAGACAGCAGTGAACAAAGCCCTCTTGGAGTTCGCATTATAAACAGACAATCAACCAAAGAACGAATAAGTAGTGTAGTCAGTGGTGAAAAGTGCTAGAGAGAAAACTAAAAGTAAGCAGGGCTGGGGGCTGTAATTTTAAATAGGGTGCTCAGGGAAGACCACACTAAGAAGGAGACATTTAAGCAAAGACTGGAAGGAGGGGTGAAGGAACAAGGGGTGACACCCTGTGGGGAAGTTTACTTGGTGAGGCTGTGAGCTTCATCCACCTCAAAGCTCCCCCCTCAATGTTAACTTCCAGAGCAGAGGAGCCCCACCTCCCAGCTGGATGGAATTGAGGGCCTGGGAGGGCAGCCAGGCCACTGCCCCTAAGGGTAAGCCTGGATGGGGTGGGACAGCAGGGTTGAGGGGCATTGATTTGCCGAGGCCCAGTGGTTGGGAAATGATTTGTGCCCACTAGCGCACAATGGAAGTAAGGGGTGTATGCCAGCTTCCCACATGGGCACACGTCCAAGCCTCTCCTACAGCCTCTGGATGCTAGAGGCCCTGGCAGCTTCCCTAAGCTGCTGTGTACCGTCCCCTGCCAGGCCAGCCCTGATGGCATCCAGGGCTCTCTGGGGACTGCATTGTGGGCGGCCGTTTGTTTAGTTATTCAATGAATGTTTGACTGAGCATTTTGTGCACCAGGAGATTCAACGGCAAACATTTCCCTGCCCTCAGAGCCCTCTCCCTCTCCTGGGAGAGACAGGTAGAAAATAAATAAAAAATGTCAGGGGGTGATGTGTTTTACAGAATAAGGCAGGGCTAAGGGAGAGAGGGAGGGGCCTGTCTTATAGTTTGGCTTCTGACAGGGTGACATCTGAGCTGGGACAGAAAAGCAGGAAGCAGGCTAGGACAGGGCCTGCCCACAGGGGAGCAGGCTGAGGAGGCGCAGGACTGTGTGTGGGGTCATGGCAGCTGGTGTGGCTGGAGGGGAGCAGAGAGGGGCAGGAGAGGCTGAGCAAGGGTGGATCCAGATTTTCTGGGGTCTGAAGTTTATAGCATTTGGGAGGCCTTTAAGAAAAACAAAACAAACCAAAACAGGAACATAAACTGAGGGGTGAAAGTGAATATTGATTTAAACGAGAAAAGAAATTTGACCCATGCAGCAGCCTTGGAAACACAGGCCCCTCTCTCTCAGCAGTTTAGCAGGAAGGCTCCTCAGCTCAGGGGCCCCACAGCTCCCAGCGGTGCCCAGCACTCGGCAAGGGGGCCTGAAAACAGGCTTCATTCGCTTCCTGGTAAAGCCACATCTGGTCAGGGAGGTGGGTAGATCACGTGGGGCCTGAAGGCTATGATGGGGCTTGGGCTTTGTCTGTGGGTGAGAACGAAGTCAGGGAAGTGGGTAGATCACATGGGGCCTGAAGGCCATGGTGGGGCTTGGGCTTTGTCTCTGGGTGAGAAGAGAGAGACTGACAGTTTTTAGCAAAACAAAAAATATATTTTTGTAACAAAAAATTTGCCATTTTAACCATTTTTATGTGTACAATTCAGTGACATTAATTACACTCACCGTGTTCTGCTACGATCACTACTATCCATTTCCAAAAGTTTTTCATCATCCCTAACAGAACTCAGTACCCCTTAAGCAATACGGAGGGTTGTTTTATGCCCCACAATTTTTTTTATTCAGGTTAACTCACTATATAATTCACATTAAGTGAATTGTATGGTGTCTGAAGCATACAGTTCAATGAGTTTTGACAAATGCCTAGTGCTTTTCTTCCCAATCCCCATTGTCCCCCTCCTGCAGAAACAACCACTATTCTGATTTCTTTCACCATAGATTAGTTTAACCTTTTCTAGATAAAACCTACCTAGAACACTTACTCTTTTGTGTCTGGCTTCTTTTGCTCAGAATGTTTTTCAGATTCACACATGTTATTGCCTGTAGTTTCAGTAATTCAGTCCTTTTTATTGCTGAGTAGCATTCCAATGGAGCCCTGGTGGCACAGTCGTGAAGCACTTGGCTGCTAACCAAAAGGTTCGAACCCACCAGCTGCTCTGTGGGAGAAAGATGTGGCAGCCTGCTTCCCTAAATATTATAGCCTCGGAAGCCCTATGGGGCAGTTCTACTTCATGGCAACGAGTTTTTTTTAGCATTCCAGTGCACGAATGTACCAGCTTGTTGATCCATTCACCTTCTGATGAACATATGGGCTGTTTCATTTTTGGCTATTATGAATGAAACTTCTATAAACCACATACAAGTCTTTTGGTGGACACGTTTTCATTTGGGGGCGAGGGTAAGTACTTAGAATTGCTGGGTCATTAGATAAATATCCATTTATTAAAAATTGCCAGGCAGTTCTCCAAAAAGGTTTACTATTTTACCTCCCAACCAACAGTGGGGGAGTAGTTCTGGTTGGTCCGTATCCTCGCCAGACTTCAGAGTTGTCAGTCTTTGAGTCATTCTTACGTGTGTGTAGTGGTATCTCATTGTGGTTTTGCTTTCCCCTGACAACTAATGATGCTAGCTTAGCCCTTTCTCCTGCCCTGCGTAAAGTACCAATTTTTAAACTGGGTTGTCTTATAAAACACAAACTATACAATATTAACTGGATACAAATCCTTTGTTAGATTATATGTACTGCAAATATTCTCTTCCGGTCTGTGGTTTGTCTATTCATTGGAGGGTTTTGAGCAGGGGACAGGAACCAGACTTAGGTTCTAGAAGGGTCACTGGTTCAGTGTAGAGAATGGAGGGTAGCCGGGGAGACAAGTTTAGGAGGTTCTGCAATAGTTCAGGTAAAAAATGACATTGGCTTAGACCAGGTAGCAGGGGTGAAGGGGTGAAGTGATCAGATTCCAGATATATTTTGAAGGTAGAGATGACAAGATTTGCTCATGGATTTGACCTAGAATGAGAGGGAAGTAAGGAGCTGAGGATGACTCTGAAGGTTTGGCTTAAGTTACTAAAAAGAGTTGCCATTTGCTGGGAAGAGGAAAACGACGGGAAAAGCAGGTTTGAGAGGAGAATTAAGTTTGGTTTTAGACATGTTAGACTTGAGATGCCTATTAGGCAATCAAGTGAAGACACAGGGCTCGTAGTTGGATTTATGGGTCTGGAATTAGTTCAAGGACAAAATGAGGTCATTTAAATAGAGATATTTAAAGTAATGATGCTGAATGAGATTACTAAGAGAGTATAAAGAGGAAAGGTCTAAGGCTGCCCTTTGGGGCCCTTCAACATTTGTAAGTCAGGAAGATGTGCCGGAACCAATTTTGAGTCTGAGAAGGAGCAGGGTAGTTTTTGGAGGCCACTTGAAGACAGTGTTTCAAGCAGGACTCGAGGGACTGTTCAGCTGTGCCCAAGACGGGCTCAGTCAGATGATGGCTGAGGAGTGGCCATCAGATTCGGCAGCTTAGTGGCCACTGGTGAGCTTGTCCAGAGCACCTCAAAATCTAACACACACCCATACCTTTAAAGAGGGAGCACCTCCAAGAAGCTGAGAGGGGACAGCTGTCAAGGCTCCTGAGGAGAAAAATGGATTCATCTTCTAACTCGTAAACGCCCCCACACCACCCAAGCCCAAATCAGAAAAATCATGGTTCCATCATCAGCTTTGAAACGACTTTATTAGAAGGCTGTTTTAAATGACAACTTCCAATTCTTTCTTAATTTGCTCTTTGACAAATTCCAGTTATAACTATATATATTTATGTATAACGATTTTTGCATTGATCTTTGCATCCTATTTAAATTTTCCTCATTAGGCCATTCTGGTGGAATGGAGGGCAACTGTGCAGTTGCAAGCTGACCAGCATATCAAGCGGGGCAGCAGAGGGCTGGGAGGGAGTGAGCCCACTGTATCAAAGGAGGTGGGGGGCCGGTCACCCTCCCTTCTAGCACCTACCCATTCACAACAAACCCACAGTGAGAGGCACCTCATTGCTTTTTGATTCAAAACGGGTGAAATAACAAAATCCTCTCAGTCCAGGAAATGATTTGGACTTCCATCTTCAAGGTCCTCAGGATTTCTCCCAATCTTCCCAGCCCCAATCAAACACGCTTTTTCAGGCCCTCAGATTCTAAGGTTTCCTGCACTCATTCCTTCCGGGACACACGTAACAGGAAGCTCCCGAGCAGTGCAGGCCCAGCTCTGACTGCCAAAGGACAAGCCTCTCCGCCCTTCTGTCCTTTCTTCTCCACCTCCACTTCAAGAGGAATTTCTTGGATTTCTTTGGACAGACGTGACATAACCACGGGCAGCGGGCAGGGTATCTCCCAGGCCCATCCATCCTTTCCTCTCCCAACCCCCACCACATGGTGTCGAGAAAGTACAATCAACCATGAACATAAATATGAATACAAAAAGAAACGGAGAATGACAGGCTATTAATTAAACACATCTATAAAAATAGTTAGGACATAACTCTGTTCAAATAAATACAAAATAAATAGGCTCCAAGCAGTGTGACACGTTGCGTCAGTGGAATGTGAGGTTGGTCCCACTTTGCCCGAGTTGGGATTGGACATAAATCCCCTGGGGCATCAGAAACAGACTTTAATGCATTAGCAGAACTCTGTCTACTCCCTTTGTCTTCTCTCTGGAAGCAAAAAACTCGCACATTTGTCCAGCTTGTCTTTCTGAACAAAACCCTTTTCCCAACAATACATAATTAAGGCCTTTAACACCTTCTCTTTCTCTCACCAGGGGATGAAGATGTGGGGCAGATATGCCTTTCCCCTGAAACACTGTCCCCCATTGTCCTCATGCCACAGAGCAGGGACAGTGAGTTTGCTTCTGAGCTGGTACCAGTTCTGACAGAGACTGGGGCCAGCTCAGAGCGCCATGAGACCCCAAGCAGGGAGCAGAGCCTCTGGGTTCCAGGCGCCGGCACCAGCCTTGCAGGAAGCCATGCACCATGATGGCAGGCAGCAAACAGGCGGGACTTGGCCTGGCCACCCCTGCATGCACGTGACATCCGGGGCCTGTCTGCTGTGAGCTCAGATGAGGGTGAGCAAAAAAGCTAGACTCTTCCCCCCGCTTCCCTGCATGACCATGTCAGCATGAACACTGAGGCTGGGGAAGTAAGGTTTGTGAAGTCAAGTGAAATCCCTTTCACCACAGGATTGTGGGAGAGAGACAAGGAGAGGGTGGGAGCGGGCAGGTAGCCCTCCTCCTACCACACTAAAACAGCAGAGAGGAAGGAAGCACATGGGTAAGGGGAACGCGCTCAGCAGGCCGGAGGGCAAAGGCTTGCGCTGATGGTCTGGCTGCCGGGGCAACGTGGAAGAACTAAGCCATCTCCGAGCTCTGCTATTTGGCAGGCACGGAAGGAAACGTCCCCGTCTCTGTGCGTAAGAGCCTGGATCCTGCTGACCCCTGGACCCTGAGGAATACCCACGGGTCTCCCCTGGAATCGATGTGAGGATCGGCCGGGGTCAGCAGGGCAAGCCCGGTGGGCATGCCAGCTCTCCCTCCCTGCGGGCACATCCCAGGGTTTCACAGCTTGGCTTCGGTCAGCTTAGTGTTGGCACATTCACAGAATGAGATGGCTACACGTCCTGGGGCTGCAGGCCCAGGATCAGCGAGTCTGCCGGGAGGGCCGCCCTCCGTCCCGTCACCGTGACTGCACACCCAGGGTGATCTTCAGGTTCTCGTATACCACGTAGCTGATGCTCACGGCGGGGATCACCTTCATGAAGTTGGGGGCCAGCCCTCGGTACAGGCCAAAGGCCCCCTCGGTCCGCAGGATCTGTTTGAAGAGGCTACTCATGGTCACCGCTGGCGCGCCCTCAATGGAAGCTGCAGCGAGAGACACCATCCACCCATCAAATACCTTTCCTCAGCACCTCCCTAGAGGCCAGCCTGCCCCCTGGTGAGACAGGCCCCTGGGGACTGGCCCAGGACCAGCCTTACCTTGCGCCTGCATCCGGGTCCTGACCAGGGCCAGTGGGTAACTTGCCAGCTGTCCACAGGTGCTAGACATGGTGCCACAGGCCAGGAGCACAAACACACCGGGGTCTGCGCTGTTTACAGCATAGCGCTGCAGCCAGGCATTCTTGAGCGTCTGGAAGGGGGAAGGAGGGGGAAGTCATGGCACCGGAGACCCCCAGGGAGAGTGTAAGGCAGTGGGTGGTTGGAGGGGGGTTATTGGGCCCACACAGGAGGCTGCTTCCTGGGCATATGGGATCCAGGGCCCCTAAGGCCTTACTCAATTGGCCTGCCTGCCCTTTGTCTTTGCTGTCAGTGGGGATTCCTGGACAGGCCCGGGAGTGGGGATGAGGTGGAGAGAGCACCTCCTTCCCCCTGACAGAAAGCCTGACCTCTGTGGTCTAGAGCCTGTTCAGGGGCCCAGTGAGCCTCGAAGGCCATTGTGTTCTGGAGATCTGCTGCTGGGCTGTAGGGGTGGGGGACCTGGGGCAGGGCTCAGGGAGCCATACTGGGATTGCAGGTGGTGGGCAGTATGACAGGCACCCTCCTGCCAGATCCTTGCAGTAAACAGACAAGTCTATAAGGAGACCCAGTCTTGGATGGTGTTACTTGTTCTGTCCATGCCCAGTGTCTAAGCAGAGGGGAGACAGGACTGTTTGGAGATAATGAGTAGGGGCTTGGGTGGGAGTGAGTTCTAAAGCTTTTCAGCTTGTTCAAGGGGACTCACCTCATAGACAGCTAGGTCTATCCCGGCGTAGGGGATGATCCCTAGCATGTTGGGGACGTAGCCTTTGTAGAAGGCGGCTATCCCCTCCTTGGCCAGGATCTTCCTGGCACAGTCCAGCATGCCCGAGTACTGGCCTGTCTTTCGCAGGGCCATCCGGGTCTTCAGAACCTGCAGAACCAGAGGGGAGGACAGGAAGCATGAGCACAGCCCACTCCTCACCCCCAGTCACAGCACTGTTCTGGCCCCAGGACCGCAGTGGCTCCTCACCTCCATGGGGTAGATGCTGCTCTGGGCAATGGCACCTGCCAAGGACCCTGCCACAAGCCTCTCGTGAATCCTCAAAGTCTCCTGGTCACTACCGACAAGGCGCTTGATCTAGAACACGGAGCAAACAAACAAACTGATGTATCCAGGGTCCACAGCCCCTGCTCCCACACGTCCTTTTTAAGCCAGTCAGGTGGAAAGCTGGAAAGGATCTTATCTGTGACCTGGTGTCTCCGGCACATTTTATGCTGCCCAGAAATGGAAGGAGCTGGCCCCAAGTGGAACTGGTAGCAGAGTGGGGTCAGAACCAGACCTCCTACCACCCGCATCCCCCGGGCACAATGACTTGCTCAAGGTTTCTGGGAATCAGCAGAGTGAAGACTTCATCCAGGGGACACTCAGTTGACAGCAGCCGATGGGGTTCTTTTAGGGAGCCTGGTCCTCACCTGCTCATATGCCATGAATTTGATGGCCGACTCAGGGGCAATTTTGAGGACGTTGATGCCATTGCCCCGCCAGAGCGATCTGGCCCCTCCCTCTCGAATCATCTGGGTGAATCCACCAATGATGCACATGTTGTTGCTGCGGGAGGCATGGACCTGGGGAGGGGAAGCAAGGCTGTAGAAATAACTCAGGGCCCACAGCTGCCATCGTCCGGCAAAGTGGCCCTTCTTACTGACCAACTGATCGTGGTCATCAGGAAGGCTCTGCCCTCTTGGCCTTCTGAAGACCACCTCAGATTGTGAGACTCAAACATGACTGATTCGGGTTCAACCAGTTTTTACCACGCCTCATGATGTGCCAGCATTGTGCCAAACACCTCCACAAGGACTGCTTTTTAAAATTAAAAAAACTGAGCTTTTTATTCTGGAAAAGCATATACAAAAGTAGAGAGAATTCTGTAAGGAGCCTCGAGAACTATCAACCCATGGCTACTCTAAATCCCCTGCTGCCACACCCCTGCTGGACTACTTTAAAGCAAGTCCCAGGCATTGTAGCATTTTGCCCAAGGACTGCTTTTAATCTCTACAACATTCCTGGGAATTCTGTTTTTGTTTTTGTTTTTTTTTTAAAAAAAAACTGATCAGGCAATGTTTTCAAGTCCCTTAATTCAGAGAGGAATGGAAGTCTTGGAGGTGAAGTGACTTGTCCAAACTCACACAGCTGGGAAGTGAGGGAGCTGGGGTAGGAACCCAGGTTTGCCTCCCTTGCTTTAATACAATATAGGGAGTTCACATCTAGCCATCAACAGACTTCAGACCAAGGGAGGTCCAGGAAGGTAAAGGAGGAAGGGATAAAAATGATGCCTTCTCAAGAAAACTCCTGGCACAGAAAGTGCTAGAACACAGAGGGATGATGGGGTGACTGGTCGCTGCTCAGAGAGACACCAAAGTCCAACAGAGCGTCCTCATGTGGGTCTATTTCGTAATTCTGCCCGACATCAGCCTGGCTTATCTCTGCCCTGTGGATGCAGAACTGAGTACCCAGCCAAGGTAATGGAGCTGTTTCCACTGGGATCTGGGTCAGGTGAGGACCTGCTCACACCTGCCTCCCCATGTGGAGCCCTATGACATGTGCTTAAGGAAAGAACTTCCTGCCATATCCCAGTTTTCACTGGATTCATCTGTCCTAAGGCCTCGTAACCTGATGCCTGGCTTAAGTGCCTCAGATAAAATTAGATCAGCATATGCAAAAGGTCACCCAAGTCTGGATCTAATGTTACTCTTGTCTAACCAATAATTCCAGTCTAATTTATTAGGTTAGAAAAGCAAGGGACCAAAGCAGGGCCACAACCAAGGGAGGAGGAAATCAACCAACCAACCAAGCCCACAGACATGGCCTGGGGCCCATTTCCCTGCTTACCTGCATGAGCACCTTGAGTCTGTCCAGGGGAGCCGTGCACGTTCTGGATACAGCCCCTGCCCCGCCTCCTGCCACGAGGTGTCTCCACCACATGCCCGTCTGCCTTTCCTCCACTGTGAACTCATCAGGGACTGTCAGGTTCTCACCCACATCAAAGATCTGTGAGAAAGACCAACAAAGGTAAAACCACCTGACTCAAGAGCAGAACCCTGATAACCTTCAGGAAAGCTCTGGCAGGCTGACTGGATCCATATCCTTCTACCTTGCATCCCTGGGACCAAATAGATGGTGAGAATGCCAAGCTTCCAGGCAGGAAGCTGAATGAAGCCCCCCTGCTCTTCACTGTGTAAAGATGGGCCAAGCGCTTATCCGTTTGTGGCGTTCAAGAGGCCCAGGTATAGCATCTGAGGAGAGCAGGGAGCTATGTCTGTAGTTACAAAACCACCTGACAGCCCTTTCAAATACCACCTGGAGCTCCTGCAGGAACAGCTTACAGAGGCATTTCAGCTGAGGATCAGCGGCTATGCTGAAAGGATCAAGTCAGGGGGGGAAAGTCCTCTGAAACCTGATGTGTAACCGGATCACGCTGGCAGAACATTATGCAAGTCCTAAGCAAACATGTCAGGGCTGCCATGCCTGTGTAATACCCTCTCTTCTGGGTGGCCTCCTGACTAGTCAGCTGGCCTCCTCTGGCCCCAGGGCTGCCATCCAGAGACATGGGCCAGCTTCCACCCCTGGAGAAGGCCACTTAATTTCACCCAACAAAGACGTCAGGTATCCCCTGAGGACGAGGCCCTGGCCAAGGTACTGTGGAGACAGATGAGGACGAGCCCTCTGGCCTCGTCTCCCAGAAATGGCAGCCCAGAGTGGATGGGACAGACACACAGCTGACTGCAAATTGAGGCGGGGTCAGCAAGGACCAGCAGAAAGGGACAGGCCAAGACAAAGAAGGGGGCTCACAGGCAGGGAGATCAACGTGGCCATAGGTCTGTATTCCGCATGTGGAACGACAGCTCTGATACAGGGTGAAAGCGCAGTATGGGTGCCACTGTGGGGACATGTTCTTTTGCCAGATACATAAACGACAACAAAAACATGGGGTGGTAGGGGGAGAAACCTAATAGCTCTATGCATCTGTCATTACAGAGTAGTTTCTTCCACCCCGACTCTTGCCCTTGCCCCCCAGGAGGAAGGCTCATACTGGCTTTGGGAGAACAAGAAGTATCAGTGGGGAGGGGTATTTGAAATGGACCTTGAAGAACAGGTAGCACACGGGGACGAGAGGGCATTCCTGGCAGAGGGAACCTTGGGTGTGGGGAACGCCCCGGCTGTTTAGGTTGGCCAGCGTGTGGTAAACAGAGGGTGCGGGGGGAGCACTGGATGGCTCTACGGGGCTGGCAGAGGTGACTGATGCTGGCTGAAGGGACCCTGCAAATGCATGATGGAGTAATTGCGATCAGGCATCATGAACGGGGACCTCACCGTGGAATGCTTCCAGTACAGGATGATCTCGGGGATGTTTTCAACGGGGTGCAGAAGGTGGTAGTCTCTCCACTCATTCCAGTCGATGGTCATTGTGCCGTTTTTATCCATGCTGCAAGACAAATGCACAGTCGCCCATGTAAACATGCCAGGGTACCCTCGGCCAACACCCCCATCTGTCAGTTGCACTCCCCACCTCCAGGCGAGCCACGGAGGCAGTGCCTCTCCTTCCCCAATGAGAGAAGGCAATGGGACTCCACTCCCCACTTTGTACAAAAATGGTAAGATGATGGCCCACAGGAACCCCATTCTGGTCAGGAGGGAGGCAGTTGCCAGGGTGACACGAATACTTACTAGGTGACAGGGCCCCAGAAATGGCCCATTCGTATTCTGACAGACAGACAAAGGTAGATGCAGAGGAGAGAGGAAAAACAACACAAATAAGTGCTCGAAGCAGAGGTTAGTGAGGCAAGCACACACCCAAAGATGCTGGGTACAGCACAGCACGAGGACACACTCCCTCCACGGTGACCTGACCCCAGGGAGCCATACAAGAGGCTGCTGGCTCTGAAGACCAGCCAGCACCAGGGCCTCAGGATTTGGGAAAGGCTTAGTTGGGAAAGAAAGTACCTCTTTGGGCTATTCCATGTTTTCCAGGCACAGAAACAGCTCTACTACCCCAACGAGCCCAGCTCACCAGTGAGCTATCTTTCAGGACAACACGCAAAATAAAGTTACCAGCTTTATGGAAGAAATCCACCTTAAATTGAGTGCCATAAGGTGAGCCCCTTGGTCTCTTTTCACCCACCTGAAATCCCCCAAGTAGTCTCTTTATGGGTCACTGGAGAATGGGCATAATGCCAGGTGATTTGTGAGTCTTCAAATGGGAGCTGAGCTACAGGTCTAGGGAGGGGTCACTTATTCATCCTTGCAAACCATGAGAAGGCAAAGTTCAGAGAAACGAGGTTGACACAATGAATGGCACCAAGAGTTAGTCCAGGAATCTTTTTTTGGTCACGCTTTTGTTAAACCAAATACAGGCTGGCTAAACACTTACCTCTTGAGAATTTTTTCTGCCTGCTGCTCAGATATCTTGACACCCAGGTCCCGTAGGGACTGCATGATCTCCTGAGCGTCGATGCGTCCTGCAACAACAAAGGCAGTGAGGAGCCAGTCACACCAAGAGTCCCAAGACCAAGTCAGCTGGCGGCTCTGGAAGGCAACGCTTACCATCGTTCTTTTTGTCCAAACTCTTAAACACCAGCCGCAGTTTCTTCTCGTGATCTTGGAGATAATGGACAAACTCTTCAAAGTCTAGCTGCCCATCAAGGTCCTTATCTCCAGCTTGTACAATTTTCTATAAAACAAAAGGTTTTGTCCTTTAGCTCATGCACCAGCCTTTCCTTGTCCCTCGTAGGTCCCTATCCCAAGGAAACAGTGCTAATCCATGACCACAGGGGGCCTCAATAACACAAGACACTTCTCCTGCTCTGCTCCCGAAGCCACCAGGGCATCTACCCACATCCCAGAGCCACCACTTACACCTCCAAGTGCTGGCCAGAACCCAAGCAAGAGCCCACCTGGCTTCCCTCACAAGCAAAGAGAAAGAGGGAGCCCCTGGGAGGAGCCCCCAGACAAAGGCCAACACTGGAGGGCTTGGTGCCTTCTCAGGACAAGTGTTCTGAAGACTAGCTTGGTGCTCAACCAGGGTCAGCTGCTTGGCCCCTCTGCAGAGCTGTCCCTGGTGACAGGCCTCAACCTCACATGTTCCTGCCCAAATGTGGGAGGATGATGGAACTCCAGATTCTATCAGGAACTCTGCAGCTTGTTCTTTTTATCCTTAAAAGTGGCATTTGCCCACAAAAAAATCCAGTGGCCAGGGTGAAGGTATAAGGCAGAGCTGGCCCCTGCCAATGCCTGCTTGGCAGAAAGTCTGCCAGGGGGAAGGTATATGATCCAGGGAAACTATCTGCGGGCATGTGCTTGATGGCACTGCCAGTCCTGAATCTCAGGGAAGCAGGTGATATACCAACATCAGCTCTCTCAACTGAGAGCTTAAAACCAAGGTAGCTCTATTTAGTAATAGTTCAGTGACCTTAAGAGGGCCTGTTATTTGGCCTCTTAGAAGGTGAGCTTTGTTCAGCAGAAGCAATCCGTTTTGGATGCTCAGCAACTGGAATTTCTGTACAAGAGTGAACATTACTGAGCGCTTACCATGGCCACCAAAAAAAAAAAAAAACAACAAAACAACAAACCAAACCTGTGGCCGTTGAGTCGATTCTGACACACAGCGACCCTATAGGACAGAGTAGAACTGCCCCATCGGGTTTCCAAGGAGCGCCATGCTAAATGCTTTCCCTTTAAGAAAGCTATGAACCCTCTTAAACAGCTCTGGGAGGTACTATCACTTCCCCCACGTTACATAGGACAGAAACACAGAGAGGTTAAAGAATTTATCTTAGGTCACACAGCTAGTGAAGCGGTGGGTGGGATTTGAGCTGGGCCTCTCAGAACCCAAAGCTGCCTCTGTAGACTTCCTGCTGCCATCCTAAAGGTCAGTTACAAGTACATGAGAGTCACAAGTGAGTTAATCCAACCCAGCAACAACCTGAATCATGCCAAAACTAGAACCAAGAATCGCCTAAGGAAAATGGGTGTAGTCTTCCTGTGTCCCTGATACTTTCAGAAAGAAATAACATTCATCATCCACAAACCAATATGGCTAGCTCACACTCTCAAATGATTCCAATCATGATTTCTCTCAGGCAACATGCTCTCTGCAACTGCTCAGCCACTAGATATGCTGAGAGGAGGGAGGCCTGGACAGATACCCTGTGACCTCCCACGATCAAAAAGCATACTGCAAGGGGTGTGGCTGGAAGGTTCAGCAGATGCTGGTACATAGTTTATCTGCTATCTGGAGTTATATTAACTTCCTGCAGACACTTGTGCTCTCAGCCAAGAGTGATACAAATTGTCGCTCCAGATTTATGGCAGGAGCAGAAATAGAAACTGCATTCCATTTGGGGAGGAGGCGAGGTCATGCGTGAAGCTCTTTGATCTCTAGGCTGCTCTGCCACCGAGAGGATCCATGGGCCTTATTGCCGGTGGGTGCTCTGAGGTACAGACAACCCACAGTGCAGCTCATTTCAGAATATTCTCACCTTGCTTCTACCTCAAAACCACTGGGCCTACTTTGTCTCTTCCTGGGACGTGCAGGTCACCATTCCCTGCAGTGTCCAACCCCCACTGCTATCATAAGCATCAGGGAAAGCACGGGACTCTGATTAACAAGGCAGTAGCAGGCAACCCCTACAGACTCTGTGTGGCTCAGTTTCCCCATCTTTAAAATGATAAGGATCCCTGCTGCCTCCCTGCTCTAAAGGGATGTCCGAGAGACGCATCTAGAACATGTGAAGGCTTCCCTCACCTCTGCATTTTGTTTCATCCTGGGCACAGCACTGTCAGTTCCAGCCCTCACAGGGGCACGATCATCTCTACTCTACGGTCCCAGCTCCTGGGCCTCCAAAGAGGAGCCTCTCTGCCCTTCCCTTCAAACACTCTGCTGGCCTTTGTCCCCGCAAGCTCAACACAACAGCCTGGCAGCAGCTGGACTGACCCCCCACCCCCGGCCCCTTCCCAGCCTGTGTGCTTCTCAGAAAATTCCTCCAGCAAGTGGATTCCTTTGGGAAATTCCATCTCCCACAAGTGCCTCCCCTATAATTCCAGCCTTCCTTGCAGTCACATGAAAGCCGGTCATTCCCGTGACGCAGAGCTTCTTCCGGCTGTAGCCACGTGGGGAGAAAACTCCCACATTTCAGACATTCTTTCCTCTCACCGAAGACCATTTCACACATGCATTCATTTCCTCTAATACCATTCATCCATATACTCAATAAACATCCATTAGGTACCCAGTGGCCTTCGTTTCGTGACACGGTCACCTGTACAGACCTGTTTCCACTGGCGATAGGTGGAAAACTCCTGGGAGGGGATAAAGACACTGAGTTTGAAGATGGACTTCAGCTCGGCAGGAAGTCCCTTGGACTCAAAGTACTGGAACTCAGTCTGGGCCTCCCCGATGAGCGGCACATACAGGCACAGGCAGAGCATGTTGGCGGGGAAGCGGGGTTCTCGGCCGCCACCAAGGAGCAAGTTCTGGCAGCGTGAAGAACGGGAAATGCCACCTGTGCCGGGGAAACTTGCACGAGATATGCTAGGGCTGAGCTGTCATTGGATGCCTAAGCCCTGCCCTTCTCCTTAATTGAAAAAAAAAAAAAAAAAATCCACCCACTGTACGTCCTTGCCTATCGCCAATGAGAAGGGAGCCCTGACTAGAAGGGCGGCAGCAGATTGCTCAAGTAGTGTGTAAAGACCAGGACTGACGTCACCCACTCTTGCAGTTAACTCTTCAGAGACATGCAGAGCACTCTGTCCTGCCTGGGTAATACGTCCAAACAAACCTTCCCCTCCTGCTACCAACCCCCTCCAAATTAACAAATAGTTGACTGCTTATTTTTTGCACAAGGTCCCTAAATGCGTCACACAACACAATAGTTTTCTCCCCTAGTAAATCATTCTCAACAGAGAAAATATGTGGCTGTAGAGAGAATCAATGCCTGCTGAAGACAAACCCAGGTTTGAGGCTGTGAGGGCAGGAGTCTGAGGGGGTGCCAGAGAGCCGGGTCCATAGCCTCCTGGAAGAGCAGACCCCTCCATGGGCTCCTTCATCCTGTAGCGGGTGCTGCCCCTGAGCGGGCTAAGCCGAGGACTACCTTGGCCACACACAGTCTCCTAGGCACAGTTCCAGAGAAGCCCCCAGCCACGCACAGCTCACACATTTCTAGTACCTGGAAATCTTTCCTGGCCTCTCTGCAATCTGATTACCTCAAAGCCAACCCATTTCACTGAAGGACTCACCGAGGGACTGACATGACGAGGGTGGGAAGAGGACACTGTAGCGTCTAAATGTCTTCGTGCAGAGAGACTCCTCAGAAATACCAATCTGGGGTCAGCCAGGGCTTCACACAATAACCCAAACCGAACGAGTTGATTCCAACTCATGGAGACCCCATACAGGCCTCACATAAGACCCACAGATTTAGTCTTCAAAGCCCATTTTCACTCAGAACACTTGCACATTCAGTGTACTCGTAGTTTTTTGATCTAGAAGTGTGCTGTTCAATATTAATTTAAATTAAATGAAATTAAAATTCAGATCCTCAGTTGCACTGGCCACGTTTCAAGTGCTCAATGGCCACATGCAGTCACTGAACATTTCATCACTACAGAAAGTTCTATTGGACAACGCTGCTCTAGAACATCCCTTTTAGGTGAGGATGAAAGAAAATCTCAGGTCCTCCACGTTCAAATGAATGGAAATTCAAGATTTGGTCATAATTTGAGGATGCTGCTCTCCAGCGCAGCCTGCATTCTCCACCTCGTTCCTTCCTCATGGACAGCGTCACAGAACATTGGCTGCGGAGGAAGAGGCTACGTCACCAAGATGAGAAAGGAATCAGCCTCACTCTTGCTCTTCTACAGCATTATCACTTCCTAATATAGACTAAATTTTCTCAGTGCCAGAATGGATAAAAATGGATGGCTATAATTTTGGGATTGACAAATTTAAAAGTAATTTCTTCATTGACTAAAAGTCTTTTAAGAACTCAAAGAGGATTTTAGAATAAAATGCTGATATTTATGTACAACATTAGGAAACAGATTATAACAAATTATATGACATTTGGGTCTTCTAAAAGGGATTTGATGAGTTAGTAAGAACAGGCCTTGGACTACAGTAGGGGCTGTAGTCCGATGAGATGCCCAGTGGCTGGCTCTGGATATTCCAGGGTGATTCTTGTCCAGCCTCAACTTAAGTCCATGACACTCAGCTGTCTCTTAAACTGCCCAATCCAGGATGTTCTGCCTTTAAGCTATTTCTATACACATCTTTTCTCTACTATTGAAGTCCCTGAAGGCAGAGGGCTATTGTATCAAAGCTTGTCTGGAATAGCCCCTTGCCTTAATCGTGGAAAGGTGCTGAATAAGCAGCTTCTGAATAAGTAAACAGGGCTCAGTTGGCCTCTAAGACCCCAAGGAACAAACACACGGCCACTCTTCACAAAGACTTCAGACGTGTCATGACAAGTTGAATATTTTATTCAACTCAGCAAAATATTATTTTTATTTTAAAGGTTCACATTTATAAATAAAATAGCTAAATTTTAAATTCTAAAATGCCAGTCTTCCTTTGCTAAATTATTCATGTTTGTTTCCAAAACTATTACACAGATCTGTTGAAGTATCTAGTTTTAGTGATGACTGCAGCCATTCCAATTTAAATGGCAAAAAATTTGAATGAATAAATGTTATTCAACTAGCGATGTTTATTTTCCAATAAAGTATATTTTCAAATAATTTTGGTAAATATAACTGTACCATTCAGTTTTAATTATGTATCTACAAAACAAATTTGAGAAGGGATTTGAAAATGATACCAAATAAAAAGGAAACCTATATTCTGTATTGTAAGGAAGTGTCATTAAAGCATTATCAAAAGAGTGCAGTTTGTTTTCTAGAACAGTAGACCGAAATCTCCCGGGTTAGAACAAAGCTCATCACTCTAAACAGACCAATGGTATCATAAGCCAAAAACCAAACCCACTGCCATCGAGTAGATTCCCATTCAAAGTGACCCTATAGGACAGAGTAGAACTGCCCCATAAGGTTTCCAGGGAGTGCCTGGTGGATTCAAACTGTCGACCTTTTGGTTAACAGTCGAGCTCTTAACCACTGTGTCGACAGGGATCCAATGGTATTATAGGGTCAGGAAATGCTCTCTGAAATGTTCAGTGTGTACTTGCCAAGACGTTACTTTACAATAACATTAATTCAATTCCAACACTAGTTTTGAAAAAGGATTCTAACTTATTTTTATTTTGCTACTGTGATTGAGTCCCACAGAATATCTTCATTGGACAAACTTCAATCGGTGTTTGCTCATTTATTTAAATCACCCATCCTTCTGGGTTTCACAGGTAATTCAGAACTCCATTTTCACACAGAAACTGGGAATTCTTCCAAAGTGAGATAATCTCTCGGCACCCTGTATCCAAGACAAATGCTCTGTATCCCTGGAACTGCACAGTTGGGGCCCAAAGGGGCTTTGGGTATCATCCCCTCAATCTCTGAGATGACCAAACAGGCCTGGAGAGATGAGACTGATTTGCCTAAAGCCTGTCAGCACAGGGCTGAGCCACACACCCAGGGCAAGGCTCTTGTTACAACATCCACTTACATCAGCACCAAGGACCTACACTCTCCCAAAGAGATTTTAGCATTCAGTTTCCAAAGAATGGCTGGATGCCTGATACTGAGAATTACACCAAGCAATCAATACCTCATACTGGAAGGTAGCATGTATGTACGTATGTGGGAAAGGTGCAACCTGAGCTAGTTTAGCCTTAGCTAAAAAACAGACACCTGTATTCGTGTTACAGCTTCTGAACCCGAACATGAGAAACACAATAAGGAAGATAATGGAAACAGCGCTCATGTTCCATTCCTGACGTTTCACACCAGCTCACGGCTCTCCAGATCCTGGCATAATGCGCTGAATCTCTGCCCCTCTTTTTCCTTATTCCAATTTTGTGACCCAGATCTACTTTGTTTCCTCTCCTCTGATGCCTGTTCCTATAACAGCTAGTATTCAGAAATGACAACAACTCTAGATCCCTTAGAATGTAGTGGTATCGGGTTTCATTTAATCTCTAAGGTACCAGTTCCTCTCATGAGCATCTTCTCACCCTCAAATCTGCTAATGCCACCACATAAGCTTCCCTTGTTCTACCACTGGTACATGCTAAAAAACAGGTGTTTCCTGTAAATGCCAGAATAGCGTGAGTAAGAAGAGGGCAGGTATTATGCCTATGGGAGTGTAGCATTAGGTCATAAAGCATTTCCCCCCTCCTCTGCAATGACTCAGACCCAGGCAGAAATGTTAATAATATGTGTGGGAGCCTTGCCAGTAACCGGCTGCTCAAGCCCCACCCACCCATCAGGCTCGCAAACCTCATTCGCTGTTGTGGCCGCAGTGTCATTTGATGATCAGGTTGCCATGACAGCCCAGTGGAGCGGGTTTCCAATGAAACCTGTCTACACTTGGCAATTAGACACACAATGAGCAAAATTCTCTGAGCTTCTGAGAAGACAGCCCCTCAGGATTTGAAAGCTTGAATGCCGCTGAGGGCACCTCCCACTCCAGAGTAATGGCTTTCTTCTCCAACTGCAGATTAACTGTAAGACAAAGATAAAGGGAAAGACTGGAACAGTTCCTAGAATAAAGCTCACAGGAACCTGACTCCTAGCAGACATATTTAAACAGGGGAAGTGAGAGCAAAACACAGTAGTGTTTGTGGGAAACCAAGAAGCCTGAGAACCAGAGTGAGCTTCTCTGTGAGGTTTCCATGATACTCTGGACACCTCTTCTATAGAGGAATGGCAAGGCCAGGCCGGATCAGCCGGTGATCACAAACCCCAAACACCTTCAGAGAACACGAACTGGACAAGGATGCACACTGCACACTTGCTCCTACTATCCAACTCCCAGTGTATCTGCTTTTAAAGAGCTCACACTGCCCTTGATGTGCCTTCTTTTCTGGCTTCAAACAAACCTTCCTTGCTTGGGTGGTTAAAAACCTAAGTGGAAATCAGCAGCGTCCCCTCACTGATTCATCTCCTTGGGGAGCAGAGCCGGGGAAGGGCGTGGGTCTCAAGTTCAGTCCCTTTCTCGCCCCCAGCTTCGTGATTTTGCAGGCAGGAACTAAGCTGTTGAGAACAGGAAGTCCTAATGTGAGGCAACCCCTGGGAGCTGGAGCTGGCAAGAGGTGCAAGGATGAGTCTGGGAAGTGGAACAGTTAATTATTAAAGTCAAAAGTAGGTGATTTTAGAAGGCAGCCAGTCAGTTGAGGCCACAAGGCAAGGAGATCTGTAGATAAAGGTTCCACCACCATTTCTGACCTTGTCTAAAACAATCTAAAGGTTGACACCATCTAATAGCACATTAAGAATGCACACTCCAGGCCTAATGTGGACTCTGCAAGACCCCTGACAACCAGAAGGAGCCATCAAAGACTAAAGATTCTCCTCAATGCCCACAGGACTGCAGAAGTTGTTGCATCAAAACATGAAAATTCATTTTTTAAACGTAGCAATTCAATTCCACAAACATTTTTGGGTATCTCCTATGTGCCAGACACATGGCAGAATCTCTTTCCCCTGCCAGTTGATTTTCATTCTGAGATGGGAGAAAATGTTCACAATCACCAAAGCTCAGGAGGCGAACAAGGTCACTCCTGCTGCAGGCAAGAGAAAGCTCAGCCAAACAGCAATCTCACTTCTGATTCCGAGAGCTCAACTAATCCCATTAAAAATTGCTTTCTTAAGGGAAAGTGAGGCAGTCCAGGGCAAAGTTCCAGACAGATTTGGAGTCAAATCTCAGCTCTACTCTTGGCAAATTATTTAACCTTCTGCACCTCAGTTTCCTTATCTACGAAATGAGAGTACTAGCACTTACCTTGGCTCTTGTGAGGATTAGATGAGAAACCCGTGCGCAGGGATGGACGGAGGCCCTGGTGCTCAGCACAGGCTGTGACTGCAGTAGCTGTAGTCATTCCGGAAGGGGCACCAGCCCGTGCACTCTTATCTGACCCAACTCCACTCCTCCCCTCCATTCCTCCCAGATTTCAAAGATAAGGCTGGTCCTTCACAGGCTCCAAGCAAAGGGAGTCTGACCTTCAGGACTCACACGGGCTTTCCTTTCCCAGCTCCAGGCAACTGGGTTCAACTTTCAAGGCATTCATATTGCCATTTTAGCTTGGTCCTCCCTGCACTTTAAAGTTTATCCTGTACTTTCAAGTGGCTTCCTGGGGCCAAACTGAGAAATACGAAGGCAAATCTATTGAATTCAACATTCCTTCCCTCACTGGCCATGCTGGGGTGGTCATAACAGGATAATAAAGCTTTAGTGACCACAGAAAGAGATTTGGACTTCTCCCCTACCCCCAATACCAAAGCGATTTATCTAAAAGTCCTCCCTTCCTCCCCACACCCCGGTTTTTCCAGGAAAACAATCCCATACCAGCCCCTCAACTAGGAAGTCCTCTTGAGGGTGCCATTACCTTAGGAAACTGCTCTGCAGGTCCGACCACCAGCAAAATGGTGGATCTCTTGTCCGTGGCCTCAGCCCTTCCATTTTGTTTCCCCAAAAAGCTCGACACCTGGTCTCCCTGAGCAGGAGCTTGGGTGCCTCTGACTTCATTATCTGTCCCCTCTCTGGAGCCATGGCACCCAGCCCTAGGGAAAAAGCTAGACAGAAAATGCCACAGCATCTGCAACATCACGGCTCCCTCCAAACGCCGCCGGTGGTGACTGTTCACTTTGGAGGAGGGACGTGACCACAACACCAAGGGTCTATGGCTACCCAGCGTTTGGAAGGCTAGCCTGGGGTGTTCTAAGGCTGGAGACTCTGCATGCAATGGCTGTTGCCTGCTCTTTCAAATTTGCTAGCACTGCTGTCGTGCCTGGCCTGAGAAGCAGCTCCCTCTATGAGCCTCGCCCGGTAGCTGGCAATAAGGAGACAGCAGCTGCAGCTTTTTCAATAAAAACTCACTTCTGCAGGTGGATGATGATCAAATGTTTGGCTTAAAAAAAAAAAAAAAAAAGGAAAAAGCAATAGCCAAACAGACCTCTCCGATAGCAGCAGCAACTTCGAGCTCCCAATTATTCAGCTGTCCTCAACTAATGATCATCACCCAGGCCGAAGACCCAAGCATCCAGGCTGCATTCTCACTGCAGCAGGGCCCGGCCAATCACCTCTGCCGACACTACCGTGTTCATTATTTCGACCGGCAGCATCCCTCCAATCACAGGCGCACACAGCCGGATGCTTTCCTGCAGACAGCGGGCGATTCTGCAAGCAGGTGTGGATGGCGACCTCCAGATCAGGCTCCCACCTCCTGGAATCCACCCTGGGGCTGGCTCCTTAACTGGGGCCCGACTTCCTACTCTCCATCTGGGCAGCTTCTGGGATGCCATTCACCATCAGGTTTAACAAGATCAAGAGCCCTTGGCAACACTTGGAAGACATCTACCAACACTCTTCCTTGTTCCCTTATCCAATTTTCTCCCACCAGGCGTAACATAATGAACGCTATATCATAGGTCCTTCTTTTCCTGTGTCTCTCCCTCTAGACTGTGAGCTTCTCAGAAGCCGGGAGCAAGTCAATCCTTTCTATCTCTAGTACCTAGACCCAGGTTAAGTCTGCAGACTTATTGAGTAAAATGATCGTGAATAAAAAGGAATTAATCTTTGGTTGTCTGTTTCTGAATTCACTTGCAGACAAATGCAGTGACCAGCTATTGTCAGAACACACATCTCCACAAAAGGGACCCTTTGATACAATGTTCATAGCCATTATTTCAAAACCACAAGCATGAAAAAAGTTATGTTGGGAGGGCATGGGGAAACTCCACACTCTCATAGATTGCTGCAAGAGTGTAAATCAGTACAACCTCTCTGGAGAGCAATTTGGTAACAGCTGTCAGAATTTCAAAAGCACAAACCCTTTGACACAGCAATTCCACTTTTAGGAATTTATCCTGTGGATATATCTGCAGATGTGAGAAATGACATATGTATAATATAAGGATGTTCTTTCTTTACAGCCTTGCTTATAATAGCACAAGTTTGTAAATAACCTAAAGTTCTTTAAAAGAGGAAGGTGTATATAAATTGTGGTACACTCATACAACAGAACCCTACCCAGCTATTACACACAGTTATGGAATAATTTCAAAATACCTTGTTAAATGAACCACTACTACTAAAGATATTTCAGAGCATAGAAAAGGATGGAATATTCCCAAACTCATTCTATGAAGCCAGCATAACCCTGATAGCTAAACCAAGTAAAGACAACACAAAAAAAGAAAATTATAGACCAATATCCCTCATAAACATTGACGCAAAAATCCTCAACAAAATTCTAGTCAATAGAATTCAACAACATATCAAAAAAATAATTCACCATGATCAAGTGGGATTTATACCAGGTATGCACGGATGGTTCAACATTAGAAAAACAATCAATGTAATCCATCACAGAAATAAAAGACAAGAACCACATGATCTTATCAATCGATGCAGAAAAGGCATGTGACAAAGTCCAACACCCATTCATGATAAAAACTCTCAACAAAATAGGAATAGAAGGAAAATTCCTCAACATAATTAAGGGCATTTATACAAAGCCAACAGCCAACATCATCCTAAATGGAGAGACTTTGAAAATATTCCCCTTGAGAATGGTAACCAGACAAGGATGCCATTTATCACCACTCTTATTCAACATTGTGCTGGAGGTCCTAGCCAGAGCATTTAGGCTAGAAAAAGAAATAAAGGGCATCCAAATTGGTAAGGAAGAAGTAAAAGTATCTCTATTTACAGATGATATGATCTTACATAGAAAACCCCAAAGAATCCACAAGAAAACTACTGGAAATAATAGAAGATATCAGCAAAGTATCAGGATATAAGATAAACATACAAAAATCAGTTGGATTCCTCTACACCAACGAAGAGAACTTTGAAAAGAAAATCACCAAATCAATATTATTTACAATAGCCTCCAAGAAGATAAAATAAATCTAACCAGAGATGTAAAAGACCTATACAATGAAAACTACAAGACACTACTGCAAGAAACCAAAAGAGACCTGCATAAGTGGAAAAACATGCCTTGCTCATGGATAGGAAGACTCAACATTGTGAAAATGTCAATTCTACCCAAAGCGACCTACAAATACAATGCAATCCCAATCCAAATTCCAACAGCATTTTTTAATGAGATGGAGAAACAAATCACCAACTTAATATGGAAAGTCAAGAGGCCCCGAATAAGTAAAGCATTCCTCAAGAAGACAAACAAAGTGGGAGGACTCACACTACCTGATTTTAGAACCTAATATACCGTCATAGTAGTCATAACAGCCTGGTACTGGTAAAACAACAGATACATAGGCCAATGGAACAGAATTGAGAACCCAGACATAAATTCATCCACCTATGAGCAGCTGATATTTGACAAAGGCCCAAAGTCCATTAATTGGGGATAAGATAGTCTCTTTAACAAATGGTGCTGGCATAACTGGATATCCATCTGCAAAAAACTGAAACAAGACCCATACCTCACAGTATGTACAAAAACTAACTCAAAATGGATCAAAGACCTAAATATAAAATCAAAAATGATAAAGATCACGGAAGAAAAAAATAGGCACAACGCTAGGAGCCCTAATACATAAACACAATACAAACCATAAGTAACAATGCACAAACAACCGAAGAGAAACTAGATAACTGGGAGCTCCTAAAAATCAAACACTTAATGCTCATCGAAAGACTTCACCAAAAGAGTAAAAAGACAACCTACGGACTGGGAAGAAAATGTTGGCTATGACAAATCCGATCAGCATCTATTCTCTAAAATCTACAAGATACTGCAAACCTCAACAACAAAAAGACAAATAACCAATTAAAAAATGGGCAAAGGATATGAACAGGCACTTCACCAAGGAAGACATTCAGGTGGCTAACAGACACATAAAGAAATGCTCAGGATCATTAGCCATTAGAGAAATGCAAATCAAAACTACCATGAGATACCATCTCACCTCAACAAGGCTAGCATTAATCCAAAAAACACAAAATAATAAATGTTGGAGAGGCTGTGGAGGGACTGGAACACTTATACACTGTTGGTGGGAATGTAAAATGGTACAACCACTTTGGAAATCAATTTGGTGCTTCTTTTAAAAGCTAGAAATATAAGTACCATACAATCTAGCTATCCCGCTCCTTGGAATACATCCTAGAGAAATAAGAGCCATCACACAAAGAGATATATACACACCCATGTTCACTGCAGCACTGTTCACGATATCAAAAAGATGGAAACAACCCAGGTGCCCATCAACAGACAAATGGATAAACAAATTATGGTATAGCCACACACTGGAATACTACGCAATGATAAAGAACAACAGTGAATCAGTGAAACATCTTATAACATGGAGGAATCTGGAAGGCATTATGCTGAGTGAATTTAGTCAGTCGCAAAAGGGCAAATATTGTATAAGACCACTATTATAAGAACTCAAGAAAAAGTTTAAACACAGAAGAAAATATTCTTTGATGGCTAAGAGGCTGGGGAGGGAGGGAGAGGGGTATTCACTAACTAGATAGTAGATAAGAATTATCTTAGGTAAAAGGAAGGACAACACACACTACAGGGGAAGTTGGCACAACTAGACTAAACCAAAGCTAAGAAGTTTCTCGAATATGACCAAACACTTCAAGGGACAGAGTAGCAGGGGCGAGGGTCTGGGGACCATGGTTTCAGGGGACATCTAGGTCAACTGGCATAACAATGTTTATTAAGAAAATGTTCTGCATCCCACTTTGGTGAGTGGCGTCTGGGGTCTTAAAAGCTAGTGAGTGGCCATCTAAGATGCATCAATTGGTCTCAACCCACCGGGAGCAAAGGAGAATGAAGAACACCAAAGACACAAGGAAAGTTGTAGCCCAAGAGACAGAAAGGGCCCCATAAACTAGAGACGTCATCAGCCTGAGACCAGAAGAACTAGATGGTGTCCAGCTACTACCAATGACCGCCCTGACAGGGAACACAACAGAGAGTCCCTGATGGAGCAGGAGAAAAATAGGGTGCAGAACTCAAATTCCAGTAAAAGGATCAGACCTAATGGTTTGACTGAGACTGGAGGGACCCCAGAAGACATGGCTCCCGGATTCTCTGTTAGCCCAAAACTAAAACCATTGCCAGGTCCAATTGTTGAGACAAAGATTAGACTGGACTATGGAACATAAAATGATACTCGTGAAAAGTGCGCTTATTAGCTCAAATAGATACATGAGACTAAATGGGCAGCTCCTGTCCAGAGGCGAGATGAGAAGGCAGAGAGGGTGAGGAGCTGGTTGAATGGACACGGGAAATTCGGGGTGGAAAGGAGGAGTGTCCTGTCACAGTATAGGGAGAGCAACTAGGGTCACATAACAATGTATGTATAAATTTTTGTATGAGAGACTACCTTGAATTGTAAACTTTCACTTAAAGCACAACAATAAAAAAAAATCTTGTTAAATGAAAAAAGAAAAGTACAGAAGGGAGAGGATAGTATGCTGCAATTTATTTCTAAGCTTGTCTGCATGAAGATTATCTCTAGGAAGGATACACCAAAACTGAAGAAAGGGTTTGTTGCAGGGATAAAAGGGTTAATTCATTAAAAGGACATACAATCCTAAATGTTTTTGCCCCTAATTACAGAGCTTCAAAATATGTGAAACAAAAACCAATAGAACTGCAAGGAGAAATAGATAAATCCACAATTATAATCAGAGATTTTAACACCCCTCTCTCAATAATTACTAGAACAAGTAGACAAAAAATCAGTAAGGATATAGACTTGAGCAATATTATCAACTAACTTGACCTAACAAACATTTAAAAACACTCCACCCAACAACAGAAAATTCTTTTCAAGGGCACACAGAACATATTCTGGCCATAAAATAAGTCTCAAATATAAAAGGATTCAACTAATACAAACAATGTTCTTTGACCACAATGGAATTCAATTAGAAAGCAATAAAGATGTGTGGAAAATTCCCAAATATTTGTAGACTAAATAACACAATTCTAAATAATCTCCGAGTCAAAAAAGAAATCAAAAGGGAAATTAGAAACTATTTTGAGTGGTGTGAAAGCAGAACATACCAAATTTTGTGGGATGCAGCAAAAGCAGAACTTAGTGGGGAAATACCTATATTAGAAAAGGAAGGTCTCCAATAAATGACCTC